CGAGATCATGAATCCGACAACGAAGATGTAGACTAGTTTGATTTGGATTCTGCTCTATCCAAAGCTTCGCGCATCTTCTAACCCACAGATTGGTGCCCGGTTCCCTTCCACTCAGCTCCTGACCAAGTTGCAGAAAGTGTTGCTCAAGGCCTGTAAGGTTCGAAAGCATCAGGACCACCTGGTCGTTGCCGATTCTTCCTCAGCGTTTTGGGTTGTGGGTGGGGCGTGTCAAATCACCAGTAGCGCGTGAGGCCTTGGTGAAGCAGTGGCACTGAACAGCAAGCCTCAATACCTCGAGGTTCCTGAGTCTAATGACCAACTTCTAGTTGGCTCACGCTGTCGTTGGTGTTGTTCATTTCCTGGATGTATTAGCCTATTTTCTCTGGTTAAGCCCTCGTGACGGTCGAGCATGGCTTGGCTTATGCCCATATGGCTTGCTGGAGGTTGACACGTGATGTTGTCACAGTGCCTGAATGCAGATTTTCGAATAGCCTTTATAGACGCCTACAACAACATGTTCCTGCTCTGCCAATTGCTGGGCCTTCCTTTCCCTTTCAGGTGGTTATCTGAATAGGGCACTTAGAAGTCCATTGCCTACATGCTTGTGCTACATTCACGAGCAGAAGTTTTGCATGTTTCGTAAGGATTGTGGCAGGAAATATTCATGCACATCGCAAGTCTTTGGACAGCCAATGGTATAAAATGTGGACGATCTATTTCAATGAAGTCTTTCAGAACAATGACGCCTCGACTTCTGGTAGCAGCAGAGTTGCAGAGGAATTCATCATTGAAGAGACATGAATGATTGTCGTAGCTATGTTTTCGCCTGAAATCACAAAAAAAGTAATCCCAAGCCCTAATTAAATCACAAATTCATGACAAAATTCCCACCCCTGAAGCCAGAATGAGCTCTAAGCATCCAACCCAAATGGCATCGGGCAGATTTTCCATTCGTGCCTTGGAACGACGCCCTGGAGCGCTCCTTTTGAACAAGCAGAAGGCACTTTGAAAGTTTTTTCGTTGGTGTAAAGATCAGAGGTTTGATTTGCTGCAGGCAGGTTTGGGTTTTATGGGCTTGGCAAACCAATCTTCCGCTTAAACAATTACCTCCCCAAGTTACTGGCGTCGAGTTCTATCTGAGGCCGCACGGTTTTTTTTAGCTCCCAGTGGAAGGGATCACCTCAAGCAACAACTTTAAGGTTTGTCACTCCGCCAGCTCGTAGTATCCGAGGCCACGTTTCAGTTTCAAGTGTTTACGCATGTGAGAAACATGGTGTGTATCCTGCTATGAAAGGACCTTGGCAGTTTGGGGGGAGGCTCGTTAATCTGCTGGGCTTCTGCACTGTGCTGCAAGTTGTTGCTCCATAGAATGAATTCTGTATTGAATCCTAGTGCCTCATACCCCCCTTCAATGCAGCATTTTCACAATTTTGATCATGGCAAAAAAATCTAATCCGGCATACGCCCTACATCCTACCCCCTCTGATGGCAGACAGGTTTTCGCAGAAGCCGAGGTCACGGCCCCAGTTTCTACTGATCCCAGCGCGCTCAAAGCCCTTCCTGAGTGCACTGTGTATCCATTATACAATTTTGGATCTTGCAACAGTTTTATGGAAAAGATTGCTTAGGAAGCCTTCCCCGTGGTTGCTTCTGCAGAAAAACAATGGTTCTTTTTAACATCTTTTCGGTACAGGTGATTTTTTGTGTAGCTTCTTGCCATGGCATGCCATGCATGCAATGTTTGTCGAAAGCAGGAAGTGGCGAAGCTGTTCTATGAAAGCTCGAAGAAGGAAAAGTGGATGCCCCGGATACCGCAGCCCCTGAGGTTGCAAATGCCAGGTTTGGCAACGTTTTCACGAACCAATTGAAGTCGTCTGGAGATTTCCAATTCTTGCTTCATACTCATGTGGCTGCCAAGCTGAACTGATACAAAAGCTTGATGGCTTCTGCTCTTTCAGGGAGAAGCTCCTCGGGCGGATGGATGATGTCCTTGGAGAAGATGAGCCCCAGGACCATATGGATGGGGCGTCACATCGACATTTCTTGGTGTCCTGTTCCATTTCATCATTATCCAGCACAAACGAGATGCCTACATTGGGTACTGCCCCCCCTCAGTAACAGTTGGATAATAATTATAATATGGTTATATATAGCCCTTAATAGGACCCCTAATATAGACTGTTACTGGGTGGGGGCAGTACCCAATGCCTACACAACAACTTGTTTTTGCTCCATTTTTGCACGAGGTGGAGGTCTGCAGTTTCATGAGCCCTCCTTGCCTGCCAGGCACCTCCTCCCAAGTCTGCAGGGGGTATGCTTGACAGCATTCTGGGCGACGAGGATGAGGATTTCTGATGCGCACGCTGCTTAGGGGCAGATGATACATCACCATCGGAAGGCTTAGAGAAATGCCAAAGACTAGCTGAGAAGTGCTATATAGTATAATATAGTAGAATCTGGTATAATATAGTAGAATATAGTACAAATATAGTAGAGTAATCATAGTTTATTAATATAGTATATTGCTACGGTATATTGTAGTATATTCCTGTTTGCCCTGAAACTGCCTTTCTGCCGAGCCCGTCTCACCTTTCCTCCTCGCGGGGTAGACGGACGCTCCAGCGAAATGATTTGACAGCCTGCTGAACATGGTAGTTTCCCTAACAGCGGGACCCCAATATAAACCCGAAAATTCTACTTGACATTAGGCTTTAGGGTTCAGGGCAGTTTTCCTAAATAGGGGGACACCAATATAGACCCCCAAAATACTAATCCTGGGGACCCCCAATAAGGTACCCTAATTTAGGGAAACACAAAGCATTGACTCTGGCCCGTCACCGTAGGCAGCAGATTGCGAGAGCTATCATCAGACCAACTAAGACCAGATCAGTACTTTGCATGGGGTCCCTTCTGGAGAACATTTCTCTTCGTTCAGCTTTCAGCTTTGTGAAGCAAGACCTGCTGCATCTGAGGGCTCAAGGCCGCAAGCTGCAGGTACTGGCCATTCCTCAATACCAGATGCTCTGTATGCGCGCTCAGTCTCAAGTAAAGCAGGATACTGCGCCTGAGCGTTGCGGCAAGGAACAAGGATACCCAATGAAATAAAGCGGCACACTGTTCACATGAGCTTGCGCGCCTGCGAGATGTTGACTAGGAAATCCGAGGCAGGAAGACCATACAGAAGGAAGGGCTTGGCATGTGGGCAAAGTGGGTGGTTGCCTGACTGCCTACAGTTTCATGAACCGGCTTTGCTTACAGGTATCCCTGTCAAAGTTTAAGCGCGCCTGTTTACATAAGCTTTTCTCTGACTGCTAGGCCTGAGCTGCCATTCCACGTGGTAAGGATAAGATGACATTCATCATCGTATGCAAGGTAGTTCTTGTCGGAGTGAGATTTCTCCGGCAAAGCCTTCATGCACTGGAAGTGCAGGGAAAGGAGAGTCTGCCCAAATTGGGATCAAACAGCATCCATGCGAGATTCCCGCAGGCAAAGCAGTGATGGCAATGTCTACCTCTTCGATCCGGCGGCCGCAAACATGCGTGGCCAAGAGGGGTAGGCCCTCATCCTAGCACAAAGGAACAGCAGTCAGCCGCAGGGGAGTTTCCCTGCTCTATCTTGAAGTCTCTGGTCGCCTTGCAGGTCTGCCTTTGCCTGCTCTGTACTGGTTTTGGGACTGGGCATGGGCTTCGCAGTGCCGGCACCCTCCAGGCACACAGCTCTTGTTGTCCGGACTTGTAGGCAGCAACCTGTCCTGGATTTCGACCAAATCGCCTGCTCTAGGCACTTGCCCGTGGTGAGTCAGCGACGCCACAGTTTCGTGGGACTGGAATCACAACCGCCTGCACCTAGCCTCCAGCGCTTCAGCGCCCCTGGAGTCTATCCCTTCTGGGTATTCGTCCCTTGGACTTCTTGGTAGGAAAAGGAAAGGGTTTGTGCAATGATCTGTGGAGACCCAATGCTTTGGACTTCTGTGACCTCAGTTGCCAAGAAGACCAGTCAGGCAAGAAGTATATCACTTGAGTCATCTCATCCTCAGGGGTACGTGTATGTGATTCCAGTACTTAACTATTAGAAACCTAAACCCCAAACCCTATATAGACCCTAAACCCTACATAGACCCTAAACCCTAAACCCTAAACCCTAGATCCTAAATCCTAAACCCTAAACCCTCAAGCACAGATAAATTCAAATTGTATAGGTCAATAGCTAAAACGGAAACTCACGCAAAACCCGCTCAAAGCCCGGTCAAAACTCCGGACCCGAACCCTATACAATTTATATAAACCCCAAATCGACCTTAAGCCCAAAATAGTCCCTAAACCCAAAATAATTAGTCCCTAAACCCAGAATAGACCCTAAACCCAAAATAGTCGAACGCTCTCTCCAAGGACTGGTCGCGCCTCGGTCCCCAGGCTCTTCTCTGCTCCCTGATCCTCTTCCTCTCCGGGGTGCTGTGCTCCGCAGCCGGCATTGGGGGAGGTCGGGCTGCCTGGGCACTATATAGGGATATAGAGAAATGAATAAACAAGTATATATATATGAATAAATATAAATAGATATGTATATATATATATATATATATGGACAATGGAAAGGGGAAATGGAAGCTACCATATCACATTAGTGTATATATATAGGGGTTATATAGGGACAATGGAAAGGAAAACGGAAGCTACTATATAACAACAGGGTAATATACAGGGGTTATAAAGGGATAATGGAAAAGAACATGGAAACTACTACTTTGGGTTAAATATAGCTGCACTTCCAGACGAGAGACATCCTTCTCCAGGCGGCATTTACGTGTCTTTGCTGATGGTCCTTGGCGGCCTCAGCACCCGCGATGCGGTACCACTCTCTAAAGGAATCGTCACTGGGACCACATTACTTGTGTCGACATGTGACAAGCGCAGATGCATCCAGGAAATTGGTTGCTGCTTGTGATTGCATGTGCTTTGTTTGAGGTGTTTTTTGGCTCCGTGGCTTCTCTGGTGCTCAACATGCGCAGCGCCAAGAAGAAAAAGAAGATCATCCACTATGGCCATGACCTTGGAGGGTGCTTCAAACCACCTCAGAGTGTTGTCTTGGTCCATTTAAAGGGGATATATGGTTATACAAGGGTTATGTATGGGCATATAGGGGAATGAAGGTGTTATCATCCTAGAGAGTCCTTTGCCCAGGCATTTGCCGTGTTGTGGTGCCTTCTGCCTTGGTGGGCACACTCTTCGGGGTGCTGTGCACACCTCAGGCATGGTCCTGTCAAACCCTTGCTGTTGGTGAGCAATGAAGATAATGAAGGTCATGCAGGACATAAGGATAGTAAGAATAGTAAGAATAATGGTACTACCAAATTCATCAATATTGTTCTTATTCTTCTTCTTATTCTGTTATTGTTATATTCTTATTATTTGTATTACTCCTTACTAGCCATAAGTACGAATCTGAGATGTAAGGATCAACCACACCGCAGGGGACAAACCGATCCTTCTGTTCCTGATGGGGATCCTCAGCTTTATGGCCTACACGCCGGAAGCTTGGAATACTTGAGCCTTGTGGCAAGTAGGGAATAAGAGTAATGATAATAGTAATAATGGTACTAATAACAAGATAGTAAGAATAGTAGAAGAATATTCATGATAGGTATGATTATTGGGCGTTAGGAGAAATTCTCACTCCACTCCGCAATTCCCTCCTCTTTCTTTGAACTCGTGGAGCGGCACGCAAAAAGCCAAGAGCTGGAATCTCGATCAGTTTGGGCCCGTTCATTGGACCCGCTGAATTTGGAGGCCGAGATTCCATCAATCATTGCAAACGTTGACGCTTACTTTCCAGGGCATTGCACCCTATGATGGAGCGCTCTCTTTCGCCGATATGCCCAACCCTTTCAGCATGAAATGAGTACTCTTCAAATTTGCATTTCACTCGCAGCGCCGAAGGAGTGGCAGGAGCCTCAAAAGTCAGGAAACTGCCCAGGGCGGGGAAAGCTCACGATGACCATTTGCAAGTTGAAGTTGAGGTCGGTGAAGACAACTTGGCGACAGGCAGTGGCCGAGTGGGGGAACCTTTGCTGAACAAATGCTCACATCTTGTTATCTTTTCAGCTTGCAGCATCTAATGGCCTCCGTCTTCTGGAGCAAGGAGCGCGACAGCTGCAGCCGCCAAGCAGGCGAGCACTGCCACTTCAGAAGGCAGCCCCTGGCAGAAGCGTGACGTTATTGGAGGACTAGAGCAGTGAGAGACTGCAGGTCTTCTCAGGTGTTTTCAAAACAAAGGTTCTTTTTCGGGATCCCCAAGCCTCCGGTGCCTCCGGTACTGCTATTACTTTTGTGGTTATTTTTACTTACAGTACTTTCACGATTACCATTATTACAATTACTACGGTTCGTGTTTTAATGCTATTCCGATTCTTGCTTACTATCTGCTATTACTATAACTTCTCTTGCAGGACTGGGCATGCTCATGCTGGTCGTTGCTTGTGGTGCGGCAAGGTTCCACATGCACAGCCTTGATCTCAGAGTAGCCATGCAGCCCTGCGATGACGTTGGGTTATTGAGGTTATGGCGTGTTATTGCGCGAGGTGAGCACATGCAATTCCGCGCAACAAGTTTCAGTTTTTTTCAGGTTGGGGAAGCCTTCTTGCCCACCCGGAGCTTTATAGCGTCATCCGGAAGCTTTTGATCCTCACTCCCATCTGCGCAACACGGCAGCAGAATCGACTCGGAAAACACATCGCTGCCTGGAAGATCTTCAGACCACTGAGGTTTGTGCCGCTGCAACGACGTATAACAGCTGCCCGGCAGCATGTGCTTTTGGGCATTTTATGGCGCTTCGACTTTTGTCCTGGGTCTCTGGCGATTCTTTGTGCTGCACAGGTTACATGTGCATTGGAGAGGAATGCCTGATGCGTGAAGATGTCTTGGCCTCAATGAGCCTGCTTGGTTGATCGACTATTACTATTACTATTACTATTACTATTACATTACTATTACATTATTATATTACTATGTTACTATATTACTACATGACTATATTACTATATGTCTATATTGTATTATTGCTATTACTATATTACCATGTCTATATTACTATATTATATTATTACTGTTACTAAATCACCATTACTATATTACAACTATTATTAATATATTCGTATTGCTATATTACTCTTTTACTATTACGATATTTACCTTGTTTCAGGTTGTCAAGTATGCGCTCATGGCAGCCTTCACTGGTTGCTCCTTGGTACAGCACCTCCCGTTAGTCATGCCTGTTTCTTTATCTGGGGATTTCCCACAATTAAGCTTCCCTGTCTACCCCTAGATCAAGAAGATCGTTCGTGTCAGGTCCCATGATTTTGCGAAACGTTTCTCATCTCATCCTTTACAGGTCACAAGCTTCGTTGACTTACGAGTGCAGACTTGGTTCATCACTGTTCACTAGCATGTCGCAAGGAAGTGAGGTTACAAAGAATTACTTGCAGAAATTGATGTTTTTCTGATGGCAGCAGCTGCTGCTGCTACCACTTTTATTTCATTTCAATGTTCCGGGTTCTTGGTGAAGCCCCTCAGCCAAGGCTTCGCTGGGCTGGTGGGCATCGGAGGCCGAGCACTATACTGATGGGAATAGCAATAGCAATAGTGTACTGATAGCAAGAATGTATTAGAATTCAAGCAACAAAAATGGTGATTGTAAGAATGGTGGTAGCAATGGCAGTACAAGTAACAATGATAGTTCTGATATTAATGGTCATAAGAGTTGTGGAGTTTTTGCTACTTGGGTACTTGCAAAAATCAGGGTCTCAGCAGGTGCCGTTTTCGGTATATGAAACCGCAGTTTTGAGAGGTCTCCATGTGGCGCACTTGCTCTTGCTTAGTGTAGTGAATGCCTTGGTGAGCTTTCAGGTGGTCTCATCTTCAGCCCTTTCTTCCTCCTGATGGGTGTAGATCCGTCTGTCGCAGTCGCCACTTCCTCCACCTGTGTCTTTGGCTGAACTAAGATGTGCGCCTTAGAAGTGATTTCTTGGAGGTTTCATCTCAGCTGTTGAGGTGTCATCTTCACCTCCGCGTCCACAACCTTTCAGTACCTACTCACCGGACGGATCATCATGTCGCTGGCTCTCTTCTATGGAGCTGCTCGACTTCTCTTACATTTGTGTATTCCTCGAAACTCGGCCTGCTCACATATTCTCACGGAAACGAAGTTTGCGAGCCAGGCATTAGGCGATTCTGATTTCGCAGCTGCTGCTGGAGGTCTGCAACCTGGCCGCCTCTTACTGCGGCACCTCGGTTGTCCTCTTCCTGCAGGAGAAGTTTCCCGGCCGACGGTCCATCGTGTCAGGAATCGTCAGGGGCTTATACCAAAGTTTTGCGAACAAGGTTCGGTGATCTGGCCCTTGGTAGGGCTCCCTAAATAGCAGGATGAGGATGGTGAGCATAAGGATCCCTACAAAAACCACAAGTTCAACCCAACCCCATCCCATCTTCATCTGGATGAGGTCACAGTGGCGGTGTTGCTGAGTGCAGGGCTGGTGGCAGCGAAGCTGTTGACGATGTAGCTCCGACCTTTTGATCGCGTGCGCCCCATAGTCAGCGGTGCAACTTATGCAGTGGTGTCTGATGATGAGCCCACCACTTGTCAAGCCTTCCCTGTTTGTTTTGCTCAGGGACGTGAGAACTCCAGCCAGGATGGGGCTCTGTGACAAGGATCCGTTGTTGCGTGGCAGTCAGCAGAATGCAAGACCCGTTCGCACTTGCCACATCTCAAGCCTGCAGCCGTTTGGGCTTGCATGAATACACGAGGAGTGGGCCAACGTCCAAGCATGAACCTGCCGATGCCTCTTTCCGGCTGCGTTTCTTTCCTCCTCTTTCACGGGCTCTTTGGTGCCGTGCACGAAGTTGGCCATGTCTTGGCCGGGCTCATGGTAGGCTGCTATCCTCTGTTCTCGTTCAAAAACTTGGTGGCAGTGCTCACCGCCCGGCAAGTGAACATTGAGACCAAGGGCTGGCGCACCGTTTGGGTGCGGCATGCCGGCTGGGTCTTCTCCGTGATGATCGCTGGCACAGTGGCCATCATGCCCGAGGCCTCCAGCATCGTTTTCTGCGCAGCTCTCGTCACTGCTCTGGAGGCCTGCGCCTCTGACCTCCTTCAACTGCCACATTGGTCGAACCTGGGTTCCTTTTGGCTTGTATTTTCTTGTAGTAGCTGCTGCTGCAGAGGCTTCTTTTTCTGTTAGCGCGGGGCCCAGGAAGCCGGGGTGCTTCTCCTGCGGCAACTTTGGAATCATAATCCTCAACGCCGCATGGACTGCCACGCCAAAGAAGATGAAAGACATCCTTGAGGCGATGGTGGAGGCGGCCCAGTACAGTTTTAGACCTTGAAGCCTTTGAGGTTTCCAGAGTTCGTAAGCTGTCCTATATAATACCCCTATAACCCCTATGATACCCGTATAATATCCCTATAATACCCTTGTAATATCCTTATAATATCCGCTAATATCCTTGTAATATCCCTATAATATCCCTATGGAACCCTCCGAGGTGACCATGATGCGCGGAGCGCAGAGCGGTGGCGTCGTCACGTTTGCGGGCAGCGGCGAGCTGGTGGGCACCCGAGCGCGCGTGGTGAACCAGAAGCTGGGCCCCGGATTTGATCCCTAGGGTTTAGGGTTTAGGGTTTCGGGTTTAGGGTTTAGGGTCTATAGTTTCCATTTTCTTTTCCATTATCCCAATATAACCCCAATATAACCCTAATATATCCCATTATAGTAGTTTCCATTTTATTTTCCATTATCCCAATATAACCCCAATATAACCCAAATATAACCCCCATACATCAAGCATTTAGGAACTGCAGTTGGCAGGCGACTTGGGATTAAGG